ATTTCCTCAGTTTGTGTTTTCTTTATTGTGTCTATTTCAATTTCAGTTTTCAGGTTTTAAACTGTTTGAACTGTTTCCTCCATCTGTTTGATTGTTTTTTTTACTTGGCTTTCTTTAAGAGAATTGTTGATTTCTTTCACTTTTAGGGTTTTTTTTCTTCCATACCTTCAAGGGATTTTCTCATATCCTCTTTGAGTTACTATATTATCTTTATGAAGTTGTTTTTAAGGTCATTCTCTTCTGTTTCATATGTGTTGGGATGTTCAAGTCTTGGTGGTGTAGAGTCCCTAGATTCTGGTGGTGTCGCACAGCTCTTTTTAGTGTTGGATGTGTTCTTATAGAGTTATCTTCCCATCTCTTCTTCCAGTGAGTATAGGTGGCATCTCTACCTCTTCTGGTGGGTATGTCTTGAAGGGTCTATCTTCTCCTCTCTCCAAGATGGTACAGGGACAAAACAGGAATGTGTGCTGATGGTGGATATTTTGTTCTGCCTTCAGCTCTCTCTCTCTCTCTCTCTCTCTCTCTCTCTCTCTGTCTCTGTCTCTGTCTCTGTCTCCCACTCTTGCTCTACCAGAGGGTGGATGGACAAGGCAGGAACCTATCCTTTATTCTTTAACTGCCAGAGACATGCCACTGTTTACACACATGCAAGTGTGTATCCTTTAGTTTACTAAGAGATAGAAATTAAATTTATTCTTAATGCCTCTAAACCATGTTAAAATGCAAGAGCCCTTTGATACTCCTTCATTCATATATGTAAATGTCTTTGTATGCTTTGACACTAAACAATAATTACTATTGTTTACATTTTCGTCTTGTTTTTTAATTCATTTATTTAATTTAAAAACAATCTTATTTTTCATATCAATCCCAGTTCCTCCTCCCTCCCATCCTCCCATGCCCCCCACTGACACCCCATCCCACCTCCATCTACTCCCCAGGGAGAGTGAGGCCTTCCATGGGGGATCATCAAAGTCTGTCCTTAAAAGTGTATTGAGAATTGGCTCATTAAAAGACTTCTAAATATCAGTTCTAAAAGGAAGTATGAAAAGGTTCTAGAATTAATTGAAAAGTGAATAAGATAAAAGTTAGTTTTAGGCTATAAAAAGCCAAGTAGGTTTTCAGGACAGCCAGTGTTACACTGAGAAGCCCTGTGTCACATCACATAAACAAACAAGCAAACAACTAAAAGACAAAAACAAAAACAAAATAAAAGCAACAAAAAGTCATGCAGGTATCTTATAACATTTAGTGTAACCTGTGAATGCATACTAAAAAGAGTACTTACATTAATGTTTAACTCCACAGAAAGTCAGAAAAAGATAAGAAGGAGTGAGTATAAAGCATATGGGAAAAAAAACAAAAACAAATATTTGTGAGTGTACAGACCTTGATATAAGCAATATATTGAGTAGATTGCTCTTTTCCAACATCAGGTTTTCCCATATGTTTACATGCTGATCTCTTCATGTATCCTGATGCATCAGCTCAGGTATAATAGATGTATTAACAATTGCATACTCTACATTGGCTTATAAGGATGAACTTTCATGCAATTTTGGTATCTATAGCAATGACGTAGACTCATCTAATGCTACAAGTCTCCAGAATTTTCAAGCTTTCATGCCAAAGCTTTGACTTTTCTTTTCAAGTGTCCTGTAGTAAATTATGTTGAGAAGCTGCCCACTGTAGAAAGTCATTGGCTTCTAGTTGTAGGAGAAAGTCTCCTAGGAGAGTCTTCCTCCATTATTCAGAGTATTTTGTCTCAGAAAATCACCTTTCACAAAGAACTGTAGCTCCAAGAAGTGATGGGACTGGCAATTCTTCCAGGTAGACTCTTAAGAGAAAACTGCTGATAACTTAAGGTAGGCTTGTAAGAGAAATGCTCTCTCCCACTCCAAGCAGCAAACAGCTGTTCCACGGCTTGGACTCGGTGTTCTTTCCCAGGTCCTATCTTCATGATAGGATATGGTCTCACTTGAGCTTGCACAGGTTTTGTGGATAACTATTGTAACTGCTGTGCCTTCGTATGTGCCTCTGCCTTGGTGTATTAATAAGAGACTGTTTTTCTGTAGTTACATATTGGGTGGATTTTTACACTCTTTCTCTGTTCTCCTCTCCATTGACCCTTGAGCTTTGGGAAGGGGGGGCTGCAGTGTACATCTTCCATTCAGGGTTAGCTTTCTATAACTGTCTGTGTGTCTTAGTCATTGTGGACCTCTGTGTTAATCACCATCTAATGTAGCTAAGATCTTTCAGATGTTTGTTGATAGATGTGTTAATCTTTGGAATTATAATAATTCATTAGAAGTTGATTTCATAATTTATCCACATAGCAGAAAATAATAATAGGTTCTTTCCTAGGGCCTATGTCCTGTCTAGACACAGGGTTTTTGCTCAGTACTAGTGTAAAACATGTATGTTGTCTTGGTGAATGAGATGTCAGTACATTCAGAAAGTGACTGTTTTCTTCATTAACATTCACCCCGCTTTTATGGTAGTGGGTACTTCTTTCCATACCAGTCATTATCCTAGTTCTCAGGGATAACAACTGGGTGTGTCTGATAACTACTGTGCTCCTCCAGTAGCATGTCTAAAACCTTCTACATTATGAAAACTAGCCAGTAGGGTTGAATTGTCCTTGTCAGTACCAGCTTGACTGCTCCATGTTTTATAATTCTATTGTGTGAGTCTTACAACAGGGATTTATTTTCAAGATCAGTAAGGAATCAAGAAAACTGGTAATCATTAAAGCTGCTTGGGGAATTTGTGAGGCTTCATTGTCCAACAATTCTAAAACAAGTAGCCCATTTTTCTGAGGCACAGTTCCCACAAAGTGAAATGAAAAGTGGCTAGACAGTTTCTGTACTCATGGTCAATTATTACATAGAAAATGAAATCAAAATATAAAACAAAATCCAAACCCGAAGATAGAGAACTCACAATTTTTATAATTAGGTCACTAGTAATTTTTGTCCCTTGCTTCAGATAACACAGTTTCACCTCTTAGTTCTGGAATGTGTATTATCTTTGTTATCTAACATCATAAGGTAACTTGTCTCTGCACTGAAGGCAGAGATACAATCTCTGTGATCTGTGGCAGTTTACATTACAAAGAAACATGCTTGCAAAGAGTTTAGAACAACGAGCAGCTGGCTTCAGCATTCATTGTGTAAATATGATTAAGACTGACAGGGGAAATTATCTAAAACATACAACTGCAGGTATATTTTATAGGAAGAAACAAAACATTGCCATAATGGGAAGACATTGCAATATATATTGCTTAACTGAAACTTTACTTAAATATGGAGACACACAAATGTTGAAGGGAGTAAGATGCTGTAACTCAATGTTTTCCTCTTTTACTTTTTGAGGGTCCAACCAACCAGCTCCCAAATAACTCACACATGGAGGTTTATTTTTAATTATGAGTGTCTGGCCATATCTTTGCTTGTTTGTTCCAGCTTTTCTTACCTTATATTATCCCATCTACCTTTTGGGTTTTTCACATTCTCTTACTTCTGTAAATCCAATTCTGTTGATTGTTGTATAGCTGTGTGGCTGACCCCTTGCATCCTACTCTCTTACTTTTCTCATTCTTTTGATCCCACCTCTCCCCAGGTTTCTTCTCCCATTTATTCTCTCTGCCTGGCCACCCCACTTACCCTTTCCCTGCCTTGCTATTCACTGTTCAACTCTTTATTAAACCAATCAGGTGTTTTGACCAGGAACAACAATACAGCTTTTCAGAGTTAAACAAATGCAACATAAAAGAAGGCAACAGGGCTCTGCATCATTTAACAAATACTGAACAGAAGAAACAAGTGTAACACATCTTAAATTCATATTCCACAACATGTTTTCTTTCACTTTTTTCATTTTAGTGGAATATTTCCCTTGTATGTATTTATTATGGTGTCATTTAATCTTATGTATATGTTGTTATTGGTAATTTTCTCTACCTATTTCTTCTTCACACAGTAGTCTACAATGGATCTAATCAGATTGTTGTATCGTGTGAATTTATTTATTCTGAGTGCTTCCTATTTTTCCATTCCTCCTCTTTTAGTTTTTTCCTAGCTCATATTCTTCCTGTGTTTTCCTCTTTTTAAGTATTTACACTGAAGTAGAAAAATGCTAGCCTATACTGGGTATTCTGTGGTCACACATTGTTAAGACTGTTAATGATGATCATCTATGAGAAATCTCATTGAGCTGATTAGTCTGAATCTTTTTTGTTGTTGTTGTTTTCAAGACAGGGTTTCTCTGTATTGTTTTGGAGGCTGCCCTGGAACTCACTCTGTAGACCAGGCTGGCCTCAAACTCACAGAGATCCCCCTGCCACTGCCTCCCAAATGCTGGGATTAAAGGCTTGTGCCACCAATGCCTGGCTGGTTGGTCTGATTCTTGTTCACAGAATAGTTTGAAAAAGCCTGTTATTTCAATTGTCTTTCAATAACCCATACATTCAATCAGCTAAGTAATAATACCTCTTAATAAGATATCTCTTAATTTCTATGTGGTATGGACTAAGTTCCTGGCTTCTATTGATATTCCGTGTAGTGGAGCAACACATCAACATTTCTTCCAGAATTCAGTAGACATATAATGGCTCCATCCCCATGCCTAGGATTAAACACACACACACACACACACACACACACACACACACACACACACACATACATACAGTTTTTCGAGACAGGGTTTCTCTGTATTACCTTGGAGGCTGTCCTGGAAATTGCCCTGTAGACCAGGCTGTCCTCAAATTCACAAAGATCCACCTTCCTCTGCTGGAATTAAATGTGTGAGCCACAAATGCCCAGCAGGATTCTGTATATCATGGAGTCCAGATTCATTGAGATTCAACAGCTTCCATATTTTGTTTTGCTTTGTTTCAAAACCTGTATTTGATTAGAGGGAGTGTCACCTAAGTGTAGTTATTCTGTACTCTCAACAGATTACTTTATAACAGTATTTTCTTTTCCTTTTCTCAGGCTTGATATTAATTCCAGGATTGGCAATTGGCCATTTTGTGGGAGGTTTAATTGTTGACAGATTGGAAATGAGTTGTAAAAACAAAATAAGATTTACAGTGGTGACATCTACTATAGCACTTGTGCTTTTTATATTAATCCTTTTTGTAGAGTGTGAAACAGTGAAATTTGCTGGAATCAATGAAGATTATGATGGGTAAATATGTTTGTGTACTAGATTTTTCAATCATTGTCAAGGAGATATTTTCAGTAACTAGATATATTTATATAACTCTGGGAATTGTTAAACATGTAAATGAAGTATAAAACAGTTTTAGTCTTCATATTAATGGTATGTATACAGACGCATATTTTTCATGTATTCATAAATGATTTAGAATCAAAACTAAAACTTTATGTTAGGGTATGCACCAAGTACAAGATGGTATTAGAATATATATGTAGTGATTTGACCTTGTGTTCTTGAACTAATCTGTCTGCATTCACATAATAAGGGATGAGTTTAAATTACATGTGAGCTTTAACATGAATGTTTTAATTTAAATATGCAAATATTCAATGTTCAAAGGGCTTGGCATAAATTAATATTAAATATTGTATAACATAAATGCAATTGAAAGTCAAAGAACTGAGCAAGTAAAATGATAAAAGGGAGATATAATACATTGCTTACTGTGGAATAGGATACAGCAAACCAATACAAATTTATCCAAAGGACTTAGAGGAGGGTCTAGAATTCATAGACATATCAACAAAAATATATCTGTAACTGAATAAAGGATAATTTAAGACTTTATAAAAATTAAAAACCTTTCCTGTGAAAAAACTTTTAATCTGGTAAAAGAAGTATATTGTGCAGTGGAGAAATATCTGTAAAATAAATATTCAAATCTGCAGTTGGAGTGTTAATGGCATATCAACTGAAAAATCTATGAACATACAATACCAAGACAGCTGCTTCCTAACTCCAGCAAAAAGAAAAATAGAAAAAAACATTTCATTATTAAGAATTTGGGGGGAAAATAAAGCAAAAGATTCCCAAATAAATTTCTCAAATATCCAAGGTGAACAAAAAACTTATAAACAAAATAAAATGTTACTCACTTAATGCCTAGGCAATAGTGCTGTTGAACGTCATATGCACTAATCCTAAATGTTATGAACATGTCACTTCTTCACAAATTTATTTGAAAATTATTTATAATTCATAGAGTATCTTTTTTAAAATAAATTGGGCCTCCTGAAACTGAGAAGCTTCTATAAGGCAAGGCACACAGTCAACAAGACACAATGGCAGCCCACAGAATGGGTAAAGATCTTCACCAACCCCAGATCTGACAGAGGGCTGATTTCCAAAATATACAAAGAACTCACAAAGCTAGTCACTGGAACGCCAAATGAATTTTAATTAAGATAGAATTGTGTCATTTTTACCCTAGTAAAGTTTTCCACATTCCTCAAAGAGCCTATATACATAACCAGAGCAACAAACAAAAGGTCATGAGTGGACAATATACTTCCTCAAGAACCAAAATAATGAAACCAAGTCAGAGAAGTCAGCTGGTAGAGATAATAATTTATTGTGAATCCTAAAAAAGTACAGTGGTGCTGTCTTTCCTTAAAATCTTCATAAAATTCTAAATAGTTAGCTCAGTGATACATTATGAATAGTTAGAAACTTAACGCATGCAAAGCAGGCATTCAAATCTGAGAAAGATGTTACATGTTTTAAAATATATTCCTGGGAAATTTACTTTTCAACTTGAAACAGAATTTAAGGCACCACTTTCAATTTCAAGTAGTCCTCCTGTTTGTAAGAGATTTATTTATATATGTACAATAAATCTGTTAGTGCTAGGAAAAAACAGGGATAATATTTCTGCATTACAGCAATATAGAATTTACCAAAAAAGATAAAACTGTTTAGATTTATGTATAAATTTGTTTATTTTATGAATAAATGATACGTTATAAACATGAAAAACATTATCAATATATATTTTGGATGAACAAATTTATGAAAATGTTTCCTTGTAGTTGAAGAGCACAGGGAAAATGAGAAGAGGTAAGAGATTTCCGTTCGTAATATAAGACAATGAATTTCTGGATTATGAACATTAGGCGCAATCTCTTTTGTGAATACTTATATTTTTTTTCTTTAAATCTGTTGTTTCTTATGTCAGGTGCTGTGGCACATGTCTTTAATACCAGAACTCAGGAGGAAGAGGCAGGCAGATCTCTGTGAGTTCTAGACCAGCCTGGTCTGCAAGAGTTAGTTCCAGGACAGCCTCCCAAGCCACAGAGAAACCCTGTCTTGAAAAATCCCACCATAATAAAAATAGCAATAATACTAATAATATAAAAATAAACAAAAAACAAAACAAAACACAAAAAACACAATTGATTCTCAAATTTAATATAAAAATTTTCTAGAAAGCATGTCAAAACATAGATTGCTGCCCTGAATTATTACAATTTTTTACATGAGAAGTCTCAGAATTTGTAGGTTCACAGGCAACAGTGATGCTGCTGGGGCAATGGACTCGTGTGCACACCGGTAGTTTGGACTGATTGACAGGGATACTGGTGAACAAGATGGACTAGGGAAATATGAAGGCTGATGAAGGTCCTGTGACCTCAAGGTTTTGTTTTGTTTTGCTTTCATTATTCTTAACCAGTTTATTGTCCAAAACAGCACCAAAGAGAAATGGAAACTTACTGTAAATTTACTCACTATAATTTGACAAAATTCTAAAATGTATGTCAGTACAACTTTATATTTCTTCTTATAATATCTTGGAGTTTACGAAATTTCCACCCAAATTTGGTAACTATACACCTTTAATTTTTCACATGTTCCATTAACTATGTACAAAATAGTTTTCCAGCTTGAACTTCAGCTCTTTCAGTAAGTGAGTCTCATCCTTTAAAGTTTATTCATTTATCTATTTCCTTTTGACAAGCAGATGAAAGTGAATATCATCTCACTTTGTATATAATATCATTTATATATGACCAGGAACTGCACTCATGAAGTCTTACCAAAACGGCTGATGATAGAAGATCTCTACAAAACAACGCCAGTTGACTTTCCAACATGGATGCAGGGAATCTCACAAGGTCCCATCCCCAAATTCAGTGGCTGTGGCCACTAAGAAAGGAATAATCTGTGTTGTTCAGGAATGAGATGAACTCCTTGGTAGTTTATCTAACCCAGGCAGAATTCAGCTTATTATTAGATTTTGACAAACAGTCATATGTATCCTAGGCTGAAATTAATGAGACAGAGTATATTCAGGGGATGGAACACTAACCAGTCAGAAGTGCAATGATGTTTATTTTCAACGTTCTCTTTACAAATTTAACAGGTGGTTTTGCTAAGTTAACTAAAGAAAAATAAAGGGCATTTTGAATAAACATTAGGAAAACTATTTTTATTTAAAGACAATATGATTGTAGAAATTTCAAAGCCACTAGAACTAATTTATTGAATTTAGAATAATGACACACCACAAGCTTAATATAAAAATGATCCATGATTCTCTGTGGCTGGGGTTGTAGGTCATTGGTTGTCCATTTGCATAATTACTACATGACTAAGAGCTCTCTACCAGCACAGAAAAAGACATACATACATACATACATACATACAAACACACATACACCTGCAACAATATACAGCTTCCTACAAACAAGTAGATACACCATCATTATAGAGGAACATCTGTTTCCTATGTTAATTATAAAAGAATATAATTTTCAGATATTGTATAAAAATAACAAGTATTTAAATTATTTTCACTATATATGTGATGAACATATACTGATTATTATAATATCTTGGAGAAAATAGAGGCTTTTTAAAGGAAAGCTATCCTATGTTCTCGAATAGGAGGATCCATTTTTTATGAAAATTTGTCTTCTTCTGAAGTTTCTGCTTTGTATTCAGTGTAGTTAAAACAAAAGTCCATCAGGCTGTTTTTCGTAGATACCAGTAATAATATCTTAATTGCCAATGATATGCAAGGACCTAGAAAAACAAACAATAAAAAAATAGAAGACTAAACCTATTTGCTTCTAATGCAAACTGTGGAACTATGATAATTGAGAAAGTGATAAAAGTACATTGATAAAATATAATGGAGAGACATTATAAGTAGAAACTCATATATATCTAAGTGGTTGATCTTTGGCAGGGAACAGAGCAATGAAGTAGAGACTCTAGAATCATTTACTAAAATAGCATTATATGGAGTGAACAGACTTTATATTTAGGAATATATGTATATGCATATGCATATATGAATATAATAATATTTAGTAAAAACACAAGTCATGAATTTGAAGGAGAGTGGGTAAGGTTCAGAGGGAAGAAAGGGAGGGGAGAGATGTAATTATATTATAATCTCAAAACCAAAAAATTTACAGAACAAAAATTATATATAGTGTTAGCATGGCTAGAATGATTGCTCAGGGTCAAGAATGCAGGCTCTTCCTCCAGAAAGCCTGAATTTGGTTCCAGGAACCTATGCCAGTCTGTTGAGAACACCTGTTATTCCAGCTCCAGGGGATCTGACATCCTCTTTTGTTTTCTGAGGGCACCGACCCTGCTGAGATGTTCTTACACAGATACTTGCACACTCACAAATTAAATGTAATAAAAATAATTTAAAGATGTAAAAATGATATTGGGTTGGGACCATTAGATGTCTATATGTAAAGACATTAACTTGGATCCCCACTTTGTAATATACAGAGAAATTTAAAATCAACCATAAGGATAAATGAAAACTATAATATTCTAAGAATATGAGGGAAATTCCATTTTGATTTTGAAGAGGTAAGGACTTCTTTCACATGTCAAAAACACATAATTCAGGAAAAATTTTTAAATTGGGCTTCATAAAAATTAAAATATGCCCTTTTGAGGGCTTCTTTTTCTGTTTTACATTTTGTGGGGCAGGGGAGCTTGATACAGTGTCTCACTATGTGTACCTAGTTGTTTCTACACTCACTAAATAGACCAAGGTGCCCTCGAACTTACAGAGAACCATCTGCCTCTGTCTCTTTTTCCTAAATCCTCGGATTAAAGGTGTGTGCCATCATTCCTCAAATTTGAGAATGTTTTCTAAATTTTTTATCAATCCACAGAATGTAAAAAGGTATTTAAAATAATATATACATATATATAAAGGAAAACATTTGTTCCTGATCATATAAACACCTAACAGTATCTTTATTTGTAATGAGAAAATAAACAACATAAAAATGTACAAATAATCTGAAACTATAATTTCATCAAATGCACACATACACACAGATGGCAAATATGCAGAAATAAAGTCAATATCATTAGTAACTAGAAAAAATGTGAATCTAACATCACAATCTTAACTATTGTTCCCAGATCAGAATGCCTAAGTCACTGAGATCATACCGTTACAGAGAACAGTTCAGTCTCCTTTATATCCCTAGCAGAAATGCAATCATGAGCTGAGGGATATCCCTGCAGGTGTCATGCACTAGGGCAACAAACTTTGAAGAGATGAGACTGAAATCTTGGTTCAGATCGACTTTTCTCAACATTGATTAAACTTTGGTGACCCTGATAATGCCATTCTGTCCATTTTTCATTTTTGTGTCCAAACTACTCACACGCCATTCTTTCCAAGTTCTATTGACTAAACTTTATTGAGTTTGTTATTACAAATATCTCCACTCACTGCACTCTTTATACATTCACAACCCTTCTGCAATATTTTCTCTCAAGTTATCTTCCATTATCAGTATGTCTATGCTTCATGTTGGTCCCCAACTTTCCTGCTGTGTTTCAGGTGTTCAACTTCTTGTAGAATTTAACCAAGAGTCTCTACTTAGCAACTTCAAGAACACGGTCAAAACCTTAGTAGTGACAGCCAGTTAGGAGGATAGCTAAATGACCTCGACACAAAATTTTCATTTTCCTCTTTTAATTTATGTAGCATGAAAGCTAAGTACTCACTTAAGCACTGATTTGATGAGCAGAAGAGGGGAATGTCCTCCATAAAATGAATGATAAACCTTGGGAGAGGTAATCAGCATCAGGATAAGGGCTTTATGTCTTACTTGCAATTATATCTACACTAGAAGGTGGCCTATTTTTTAACATTTTTTCTCACATGGAGGAAACGTTGAAACTGAGTTACTTCTGCTATGAGGGAAAAATAAAAGAAAACAAAAAATTAAGCTCTGTGACAGCCTCATCCTAGCTCATGCTGCAGATAGTGGAGCTCCATCTGCCATTCCTTGGAACTGAGGTGTTGCTGGTCTGAACTAGTGGGGTCTGCACAGGAAGGATTGACAGGCTACAGGCAGAGGGAGAGCTCTGAGTTCTGGCCAAATCATGCAAGAGGGCGAGCCCTGAACCCTTGTGGCACCTGCGGAGCACATTCTGCCTGCCCTGCAAACATGCCAACATGTGTATGGCAGAAAATTCTCTCTCTCTGTCTCTCTCTCTCTCTCTCTCTCTCTCTCTCTCTCTCTCTCTCTCTCTCTGTCTCTCTCTCTCTCTCCCTCTCTGTCTGTCTGTCTGTCTGCCTGTCTCTGTCTCTCCGTCATCTCCTCTCCTCTCCCCCCTCAGCCCCTCTCTGTGCTCACCACCTTTCCTCCTTTCTCTCATGGGATTTCTTCGTGTCAGCTCCTATGCACACCAAGTTGCAAAACTACAGCTCTGACTGTTGTTTTCTGGATCTTAAAAACACTTCAATAATTGTACAAAATGATTTGTTCTAAAGATCGTTAGTGCCGCTCTCTCAATGGTTGAGAGCCCTTTTTAGCAACAGACTCAAGTTTTCTGAAACCCTAATACCTATTTAAAGAAAACTTTTCTTATATTCTCAGAAGCTTATATTTTGGCAGCCTTAGGTGTCACTGCAGGTACAGAAATGAACCAGGAAGAGGTGAGAATGAAAACTCAGTTCAGATTGACTTTGTCAACCTGGACACTTTTTTCCCATTATACTGAATTTAAATATGCTGACACCAGTTTTCTTATATAACCGGATCCCAGTGCACAAGGAAGCAAAAGTACATTGAAACTCAACTCAGGGCACATGTCATTTCTTTCAAGAAGATGGGTTACAGAGACAGGCTACCTGTGTTACTTAAGGATCCAAGGAAGGATTTGGCATGGTCTTGGTCATACATGTAGGGCGAAGATCATATATGCTATTAGCTATTTATTGTCCTCGTTGTAGGAGCTTGGGACAGCTTTTGGCTGTACTAGTAATGTACATTTAGATTACTTCTGGTCCTAGCTGTGAGAGCTTGAAATACCCAGTCAGGTGGATAGTGTCGATCACAGGGCTGCTAATCATCTCCTATTCCCAGATTTCTGGATGGAAGAAAAGGTTTAGGTCCATTCCTTTTAGAGAAAAATCCTATGTATTTAACATTTCTGGTTTTGCTGGTGATCTGTGGGTGCAAAGGCACTTGTGCTCCTAGCAACAAACCACCTTGGAAAATTGATAGTTTCTAGAAAAGTTTTTTAAAAAGGTGGGTGTAGCCTGAACAGTGGCTCAGTGTTTAGGAACACTTGTTCTCCTTACAGAGGATCCAGGTTTGGTTTCCAGCACCCACACTGATGATCATAATTTTCTGCATGTGTAGTTCCTATGGATTCAATGACAAAATTTGCTTTCATAGATTCTGTGCTCACACAGTATGCAAATATACATTGAAACAAAACAAACACACACATAAAGTAACTCCAAAATACTTATATAAAACCCTTCACACATTTTAAATATTTTATTTTTAATATGTACACATGCACTTGTCCATGTAAGAAGAAACAAAGATCATTTTCATGCAGTTATATACACCACTTATATGCCCTGTACTTGTAGAAACCATAAGAGGGCACCAAATTCCCTGCAACTTGAGTTACAGGTTGTTGTGAGCTACATTGTGAATGTTAGGAATGAAAATTTGGGCCTCTGGAAGAGCAGGCTGTGCTGTTATGGGCTAAACTGACTCTCCCAGACTATCAAGTTGCACACCCTTAAATTTACATTTTATTGTGTTTTTATACTTTAGTAAATCTGTGAAAAATAAATTACTGAAATGAGCACATATATCTCTTATTGATATATTAATGTCTGCATTAATAATTTAAATGGTAGCATCATAATTGTATTTCATGTCAACCTCACAGGTCAGGTAACTTGGGAAACCTCACAGCTCCATGCAATGAGAAATGTGCTTGCCCAAGTTCAATCTATGCTTCTGTATGTGGAAGAGATGATACTGAGTATTTTTCTCCCTGCTTCGCAGGCTGCAGGGCTTCTAAATTTTTGCACAATGAAAAGGTAACTTTAATTACACATCTTTTTCTCCAGCAGCATGTTCAATTTGTAGACAGTGATGAGATTAGATTCTACTCCTTACCCTCTCTGAAAAATTTCTGTTGTATTTTTCTTATTTTTAATTTTACCAACAAAGTTGGAAAAGCTAGTTTATGTTTTCTGAGTGCTTTGCCAATTTTGGAGCACAATCCTTCACACACCAAAAGGTTGCTCAATGCCATTCTGTGAGTTATCTTTCCCTCAAATGTGCCTCCTGCTGAGATTCACAATTCCTACTCTGTATTTTCATGTAGTTTCTCTATTTCTTCTCCACAGTAACTCATATACACTTAAGGTCGTGGTTTTTAGAGGGGTGTTGAGTCTAGTCATCTGCTGCTTAGCTTTTACATCCCCTGGGCCTAGTTCTTTAATTGTGCACCAGATCTTACCACATATACAACACTTTCACAGAACATATCTGATATTCTAGAAAATGCAGAGCCATACAGAAATCATATGAATGAGATAAATGTGAATTAACTGAATTGAATCTGCCTTAAAACTCTAGTTATATATCTCATGGTACATCTGTGACATTTCTTATTTCTCTACTTGCTGTCAGTGCCCACAACATAATCTTTTTTCCTAGTACTTGTTCTATTGTAGAGAGCAATTGCCTGTTTTACAACTTGTCTACGTTTGTTGGGTTCTCTGTTTTTGATCTTGTGTGTATAGACATTTTGATGCTTGTGTGTGTGTATGACGCACCCATGCACAACTATGCCAGCATTTGATACTAATTAGCGGAAAAATATTCAGCCTCAAAATATGTGAATGAAGTATTGGTCAGTGGACCATCTCTGATGTCACTCCCCAAGAGCAATGCACCTTGATTTCTGATGGATCTTTCACAGGCTTGGAGCTCTCCTAAGCAGCCCCCAGGGATCCACACTTTCCTGCTTCTGCAGTGGTGGAGTTTCAAGCACACTGCCATGCTGGGCTTTTTATGTGGCTGCTGGGGATCAAACCCAGGTCCTGATTTTTTGCACTTTACTTACTGAATTAATTTTTAGAGGGGAGGAAAGGTATATTTCATCTTACAATTCCAAAACCCAGCAAATCACTGATGTGAGTCTGGGCTGGAACTCAAGCAGGGCAGGAACCTGCAGGCAGGAACTAAAGCAGATGAAATGGGAAAATGCTGCTTACCGACTCGCTACTTAAGTCTTGCTCAGCCTGCTTTCTTTTATTTTATAAGAAAGATTTTTTGCCATTTGTAAAAAAAAACCACTGTTCTAAAATATTATATGTTAAAATAGTTTTTAAGTTTTCAAAATATGGGAGAAATTTAATAGAAAATATAATGACTCCCATAAAGAGTTTTCCATCTTCAAACTTGACTAAGTTACTCTAAGTATTTTCTTTATACATGTGCCCATTTCTTCTAGTTATTATGCTAAATTATGTAAATGCAGTTGCAGATGCCTGTCATGCCACCCTACAGCTAGTGCAGATTCACTGAGAGGCTAAACACAGTATCACTAATGAGCTCTCTTTTGTGGGAAATCCTGCTTTGCAACATTCACCTCAAGGAATTCTTTATAATTTTCTTATATTTCTATAAGGCACAATTATTTCATAATACATAGCAAATATAAAAGATTCTATAATATCCACACACTGTGTATGGAAATGATACTTAGTAATGGGAAAAATAAAACATTTCCATTGAAGAGTATAGCTGCCACAAGTCATCTGAAGCAAAATTGACAAAAAGAAAGTCTATGCTGTTTCAAATTTGATATAAATTGAACTGAGGAATGTTTGGAATCAGCATTAGTGTCACATGGTAAAGAACTGAAACAACAAGATAATTTTGACAAAACTGAGGAGAAACACTGCCTTCACTAAAACAGAGAAAAAAGTCTGTTCTTCATATTACTAGTCCAGACAGGGGGGCTCTTTACGATCACATCTTATACTCCTAAAAGATGCTAACTCTTTTTGGTTGTTTGCTTTTTATTGTTTATGTAATAAAAACCCTTGGACTTTTCTTTCTGATCTTGTGTCGTTGGCTGGTTCTTTCTGTTATCTTCTGTGGCTTTTATTATAAGATAGCAAGGGTGAGAACTTTTGTCAGCAGCTTCTCCAGCTCAACAGAGACCTCAGTTGCACTTTCAGTGAAAGAGCTAGTTTACATCTCATCCAGAGCACTAAGGAGTCACTTGGGTCCAAAGGACGATGATGGCTTTCTGTCACAGTTCATACTCTGACAGAAAAGCAAAAGAAAAGTAAAGCAAAAATTATGTCTTAGGTGTCTTAGGGTTTCTATTGCTTCCATGAGACACCATGACCAAAATACAAGTTGGGAAGGGTTTATTTGACTTATACTTCAGCATTGCTATTTATCACCTAAGGAAGTCAGGACAGGAACTCAATAAGGGCAGGGTCCTGGAGGCAGGAGTTGATGCAGAAGCCATAGAGGGGAACTGCTTACTGGCTTGCTTCCCATGGATTTCTCAGCCCACCTTCTTTTATAACCCAAGACCAACAGCCCAGGGATGGTTCCACTCATGGTGGACTGGGCCCTTCCCCATTGATTACTAATTGAGAAAATGCCTTACAGCTGGATCTCTTGGAGGTATTTCCTCAGTTGAAGCTCCTTCCTCTCTGATGACTTGTGTCAAGTTGAGACATAAAACCAGCTAGTACAGATAGTACTGTATATGACAGTTAAATCTACTTTTTTCTTTCACATTTCAATTTGTAACATAATCCTACATAAGAAATTGAAATGACAAGTCCTACAAAAAGAAAGCAATTGATAAAGGATCCAGATGAATGAGATAGAGTAGATGTAGGAAGCTATTGTTGTATATCTCATTTACAAAAGAATTTTTGGCATGTAAACTGTTATTGATATTTTAAAGTGAATTTTGATTTAGCTCTTGGGTAGTCCAAACAATAGTAAATTTTTTAGAAACAGCAAAGAACTCTTAGGGTATCTATCCTTCATTAGAAATATCCTTAAACTATTTGTTCTAACTTTGTATAGTTTTTTACATACATCTTATTTATTCAGTTACTTCAGTGCCAGTGTGTGTGTGTGTGTGTGTGTGTATGTGTGTGTGTGTGTGTGTGTGCTTCTCTCCTCCCAGGGCTGGGATTACAATTGCTCTTCTGTGTATTTTTGAAAATGTTTGTTCTCAGAAACAATATGAAAACTATGCTTAACTCAACTCTGCCATGTTCATACACAAAATAAAGTATTAACATGGTTATACAATCTTTCATAGTTGGGTTATTGTCGATATTACAAATCATGGATAAAGTTTAATTATATTCATTGCATGCTTTATTTGCTCTTAATTTATAACCCCTGATAATACTAACATAAACTGACTATTATTTCTTAAATTTGTAGAACTCTTCCTCATTTACAACAATTATACATCCACAAACACCTACATATTTTAGCAAGAACAATACAAATCCAGAGACAGATATTGGACTTTAAGCTGAAGATCAGAGAAGCAAAGCAGCCAGCCAATAGCTCTTACTTCATCCAAGACTGTAGTGGAGATCCTGTCTTCTCTGGGACTGGAATCTGCATTTCACATGAGACCCTTTGCTTCTTTATATACTTCTCTCTAGTGCTTGGATTAAAGGCATGAGCTCTTTTACTCTTTTAGACTGATTCACTTGAATGTAGCCCAAGTGAATGGCCTTGGGCTCTCAGAGATCCATTTGCTTCTGTCTCCTGAATCCTGGGAATAAAAGTGTGTGTCATGCTGCCCAGCTATTATTGATTTGACTAACTTTGCATTATGATCTTTCATGGAAGCTTTATTAGATCATAAAAACTACATTACCTAAACAATATATCACTACATATATAAAGTGATTGATTCACATGTAAAATATTTCAGATGTTACAACTAATGTTTTATTTCTAACTGACATATGACAGGGCTAGCATTAATATATTCATTGAAACTAGGCAGTCTAAACTGTATGTGATCACAATTAAAACATCCTTAATCCCAGTAATCTGTAAGCACAAGCAACCAGACACCTGTGAGTTACAGACCAGCCAGGGATACATAGTGAGACCCTGTCTAGGGACTGCTGAGAGAAGAGAAATCATCTTCTCAAGGGAAAAGCCCACTAGCTCCTTGTCCAAAACCAACTGATCAGCCTCAAAACCATAAACACAAATAATATACAGACTGAGCAAATTGCATCAAGAAAAAGAGGCTATGAATTTGAAAGGGACACATGGAAGGCTTTGGATGGGAGAAGTGAAGGAGAAAATGATATGATTATATTTTAATATCATTAAATTTAAAATTATATTTTAATATTGGTGAATTAAAATTTTTTAACACAAAAAATCAAAACATTGTGCAGTTTCCCTTTGGATATTTATTTAATTTTTATTTTTAGAATAATAAAGCTAGTGTGTCCTGTCTGTTTCTGAAATACTGTTTTTATGTTCGATATTTACAGGCATATTACAATTGTTCTTGCATTAAACAAGGACTGACAAATGCAGATACTGAAGGTGACTTTGTTGATGCGGTTTCTGGAAAATGTAGTAACAAGTGTCACACATTACCTTTGTTTTTTGCCTTTTTCTTTTCTTCAATACTTTTTTCCAATTTGTCTAGTATACCTGTCACCATTACTATCCTCCAGTAAGTATGTAATTTTCATAATTGTAATTTACTTAATCCATAAAAAATTTAGAAGTATTTTAGATTATTACAGCAAAGGACTTCATGTGTTTTATAAGATAAACTATAGAAAAATAAGGTTTTCCATAAACAGGAAAACTTTTAATTTTAGCATAGAGATAAGTGTAAAGTTTATTCATGGGCATGGGTATTTAACTCTAGTTCTACATTAAAAACTTATCTATGAGCAAACATTAGAGTCAGCCATAAAAGAACACAGTAACTTTTACAATTTCAATTTATTATTCTAAATTAAACCAACAATTATCACTGATATGTTCTTCCAGAATATTTAAGTACACCTAATATTCATTTTTATTCTAGGAATTGAATAAAAGGACATTACTCTAAACTTATTTTTTTAAGTTAACAAGTATGTTTACATCATAGCTATCCTATAAAATCTCACCAACAAAATGAAAAATATAATAACACATTTCTGGTATCATCCCAATTAGCTGTGGGGTAAAAGTAGAGACAGAAATGGATAGACTATCCTGGCAAGTGAGGAGGACTTGATCTCCAGCAAGACATAGTCTAGGAGTGTTGTTATATGCCTCTAATCCCAGCACAGACAAGGTGGATACAGCAGATCAAAAGTTCTATTTCAGCCTAAATGGGAGTTTGAAGATAGCCTAAAACAAAATCAAACAACAAGGGGAGAAAGAGGATGAAAAAGAAAAAGTGCAAAGGAAAGAGGGAAGATGGAAGGAAAGAGACAAATATATCAAAGAAATAAAACAAGAAACGTGTTCTGAGCTGCAATTAATGAAAAAGAGACAAAAAGAATAATGCAAAAGATCAATAAAACAGAGTTGGTTTTAAAAACAGAGTAATTCATGTTCACAGTATATAGAAGGATTATTCCACAGCATTTCTCCCTTTTCATCTAATTTAAAATGTTTTTATTTAACTTTAACACAATAAGATTATAGGCAACAAAAACAGTTCTTAAGAATTACAGTTACCGTACACAGTCCATTTATATTTGACAAAGTTAGAGAAAATAATTATGTAGCCTATCTTGGTGAACTTAAAGTTTTGCACCCAATTTACTTTCTATCCTAACTAAGGAAAGCTTTTACTATGACTATCTAATCTTCTATCCCGTCAAAGACTTCAGAAGGCGTTACCTAACTAATGACAGGGACATTCCAGTGTCTGGACAGTCATCCAGGCTTCTGCAACATTGGGGCATCAAACTCCATATGGAATTTTCCTGATGCACATCTTCCTCTTTGTAGTGATTGGTGCTGCCAGGAGCAGACCTGTCTCACTGTCACGAAAATCCTTGTGTTATTAAATATATTAAATGCCTTATTTTGTAGTTCTTTGAAAGCTTTGAAGACCATATATCTAATTAAATATATCTGTGTATGATGACGAAAACAGACCTAATATGACTATAAGATTGACTGTCATAGAGGAATAACTATTAATCTGTATTTGCTAATTATATGCTGCATTCTAAGTGAGCTAAATAAGCACAATACCCTAAATAACAGCAGCAACATGTAATCTGCATAACAGAAATAACTTTAAATTTGTATCAATAAACTAATACCAATGTAAAATATTTTGAGATTAACAGTTGTTTTTGGATTAAAGTAGATTTAATATTCTACCAGTTTTCCCAATCATTTCAATATCATATACCTATTTTTTCCTTTAGAAAGAGGTCTCTGGATTGTAAAATAAATGAAAAAAATGATCGAAACAGAAAAATATCTGAAAGCTAAATATATGGCTTTATATTTATATATATAGTATGGTGTTTAAAGAGTTAATATAAGGAAATAAATAGCTAAAGTTCTTTATAAGGTACTGATTTGTAATGTAGCTGTACATCATTTTTCTTCTTCAACATTTTATCTAATCAGTGAGAAATACATATATCTTCCTGTTTATTATTCAACTCTTTCATACTAAAATATAATGAATTTTAGCTGTTTTTACTTTCAATCTGTGCTTTTCTTCTTTCCAACAATGCCCTTCTTTAGGGATGTCGTTCTGTGTGTGACTTGCTAGACTTATTTCAGTTGCTTGTGTTATTGTGGGTGAGCACCTCCTATTTAAAATGATGCCATCCATTACAAATTTGAGTAATGAATATAAGGGTAACACAGGAAAGATAAAACATTCAGAAATTAACACCATTTAAGTAAATTTGACTAAAGTTGCCACCCAGTGTAGGTTGGATGTAAGGAATATCATTGCATGGTGTGGTATTCAGCCACCTCACACTCAAAGGAGTGAGAATGAGTTGGAGACACCTGTAAGAAAGACACCTATCTGTGGCATCCAGTCACCATGAGTAACTATGAGGAAAAAGTCTGAAGAAAAACACTTGACTTCACCTATTTTCTTCATTCAAAGTACCATTGCTGATATAAAGTGTAGAGGCAGGATCCACAACAATCAGCAAACTAGGCAAATGTGGAGTGGAGTGGACGTCACAAACGTGAAACATTATACATAATCCTGTACCTCACAGCCTGAGCCAAGATTGAAAATCAGGAAGCTCAGCCATTTCAGGAAAGAGAGGCTCAGGTGGATCTGGTCTATTGAGAATGAAGAAATGGGAAAGAGGAAAGACCTACACAATATCTAGGTCAAATTGAACTTTTGTCATCTTGCTGAAGATTAGTAGAATAAATCATGTATAAAATATATTATATATTTAAAAAAACAAACCTGTCGTATGCCACCCATAAGTTATACTATTGCTGTTTGCTTTCAGAAGTGCACCTGCCAATTTAAATTCACTGAGCCTGGGTATAACCTACACAATTTGGAGAATAGGTGGTATGTATTTTCAATGTACCAATTTTTTCCGATCTATAAATATACCTATATATGTATTTATACCTCAAAGTAAACAATAATATATAATTAATAGTGGATTGCATTGAAAAATTTAGGATCCAGTTAGACACAGAGAGAAGCTGTGTGAAATAAAAGCCATCCCGTTCCACAAAGTATGCAGCAATTATATGCATTCGCTGGAGCCATGCATTTGGAGCTGAGGTATCTTCATCACCTCATATGAGTGATTCTGAAGATCATGAAAGCATCCACAGTAATTTCATACTTTTTTTGTTTGCAACATCCTCAAGTGAAATGAGTTCTTTAAAAATATTTCCCCTAGTCATGGTGTTTGACCATATTTATAACACTAGCAATTAATTCCCTCCTTCAAAGAAGAGACAGATTGGATCAAGAGAGTGGTTGGTTGTCCCTATAAAAAATCCTGTCCCTTTACACCATAGGCACTAGCTGACTGGTAGGTTGGTACTGGATCAAGGTCTGGTACTAAGTAAGAGCTGTTTTTTACTCTTCTCTCAGGCTGCAAAGTGACTTATAACACTATGAAAGCTAGCCAGTTCGGAGCTCAGTGTTGTTTTCTCTGAGTCCTGTAACCAAATTATACGGTTTCTTCAGTAACAGGATGTTATCATCAGGCTATGGTGGGTTCTAGGATCATTGGCAGAAGACTGTATTGTTTCAGGTGCCTCTAAGCTCTCCCTGGCCAATGACCAAAGAAAAGCAAAACTGTTTTGGCACTGAGATTTTCATTTGATAATACAAGTTTTCATGGAATAGTAATATGAACAAAACTCGGTACAAACTCTGAAACAGATCCTACCACATGACCATGATATAACACACCTGGACATATAACCGAAGGAACTTATGTGTTATTACAAAGATACTTGCCCACTCATGCTCACTGATTTTATAACCATTTCAGATAGGAATGGATTCAACTTAGATGGTCATCAGCTTATGAATGGACAATGAATACACACACACACACACACACACACACACACACACACACACACACACACACATATATATATATATATATATATATATATATATATATATATATATACAAATGCATGTTAAACTAAAGTACTTGTGGAAACTAGAACTGGTCCATCACTTAATGGAATGCATTTGGAAGGAGAGATAACAGAATATAGGTGAGATGAAAGTAGAAAGTAAGAATGTAGGGAACGGAAGGGTTCAGACAGGAAGTGAAGTGATAGACCAACAGAAAGAAGAGCCAGGGAATCCTTAGACAAAATGAAGCCTTCATGAACAAGTTACATGGGCAACAGTAATCTTGCAATCTGAGTAAAAGCATGATAAGAGACAATAATAAAATTCATGTGATAAGAAAGAGTGCGGAGGGAGAAACTAAACTTTAAAGAAGTTTCGGGTGCAATGGAAGAGAGGAGAAACGGGATGGATCCAAAGCTAAGAATTATAGAAGGTTTATGAAATCTCACCATTGTGTAAAGGACACAAATGGGCAATGTGTTTTAATTTGACAGCATCACATTGTACCAGAAAGTAATGTGTTTGTGTGTATGGTTGTGTATGTGAGTATGGTTTGGTGCCATGCACAGTTTCACACATCCACTGGAGAAACTTGGAAACTACTCCCCAGGAATTAGTGCAGAGTACTGTAGAGACATAAATTTCAGAATGCAATCAGAAAACGCTAAGTCATTTTCAGTCATTAAAAATCTCATAGTTGTGCATCTTTAAAGACACTGGAAGTCACAAATTCATTTAGTTTAGTGCCTTTGTGATAAATACATCCTCCTTAATATTCCTAGCGAATGCAAACAGTGCTTTAAGATGCCATGTAAACAACAACATAGAAAGAATTGTAAAATCATCTCAAACTTCTGATATTTGTAAACAGGCAGGGCTCAGGATATTGATTGTCAGAGTTAATGACTGAATCTATAAAAGACTATTACAGAATTTTAAATAATGTGTTTAGAGGATCCTGTGGGGTGTCCATGCTCTGTGTGTGTGTGTGTGTGTGTGTGTGTGTGTGTTTTAAGAAGAAATAATTCTAATCCTGGTCAAAACGGATTTTTAGAAAGAACTTACAGTCATTGACGGTTTCATAGGATCCATCTTTGCACCATTGGCTTTTGATGTATCAATAGCTCGAGCTTGCATTTACTGGAACATTAATGAATGTGGAATCAAAGAACGTTGTTGGATCCACAATAAGTCAAAAATGGTCTACATAGTGATGGGACTATGTAAGTGATCCAAATTGTATAATTTAAATAAATAAAATTGTGTTTAAAATTTGCAATTGTTTATAACTAGGTAATATTTAACAATGGATATATATTTTAGTTACGCAAGGCCTTCTATAATTGTGTAGGAAGTATTTTATAAACTAGTACTACAAAATTTACATAAACACTTGTAGTTTTGTGCAAAATGCACTAGAGTTCTGTGAGGTTGTTTAAGAAAGGGTGATGATTAGTATAATTTCAATTGGTTAACCTATTTTGGTTATACATTTATACAGCCAAATTGATTTCCTTTATGAAATTTACAGTTTTACAGTATTAAATAACTTAGGATGAAAATTATTATAGTTGTAAATAACATCATCAAAATGTCTTTGAAGATTAAACTTCACAATTTCACTTTTTATGGTAATACTAGCTACATATTATGCTATTTTTCAGTTATTGAGAATCTTACAAAATTACTTTCTTCAAAATGTACTTCCATGTGTCATTGCCTTGGCTACAGAGAGAGTTGTTAGATGTGGTGTCCTTGTCCCATCCTCAGTGATAACAATTCTTCCATTGAGGCTGTTCCACCTCCCCAAACAGTGCTAATAACCAGGAGACAAGCGTTCAAATCCCTGATCATATGAGGATCTTCTCATTCAAACTTCTACATTCTACTCCCTGGCTCTCGGAAACTCATTGCTGCATCATGATGCATATACTATACCTTTAAAATTGCTCATATACTTCAACAGTCCCAACACTGTTTGTAAGACCAAAGTCTCTTTGGAGATTCAAAGCAGTCCCTTAACTGTAACACCACATAAAGTCAAAAATCAAATACATACTTCCAGTTTATAACAGCACACTAATAAAAATTACTTTTCCAAAGTAGGTGAATGGTGACAGACCAAAGCAAGCTGAAAACTCAGGAGGGAAACTATTTATTCCTATAGCTCCATTCCTAGTGTCAAGTGTTTTAGATGGCTTTAGCTCTCCAGCTTTGATGACAGCAATATGTATTGTTCCATTTCCTGTTCAGTGTTCACTTTGGTAGATATCTCACTGATCTGGCATCTCCAAAATTTGGTCTCCACTGCCACCTAGAATTTACTTTCACAGCTTCATACAATTTTCTGCCATGACATTTCTCTCAGTGATATTTTTCCAGGATCCTACTTGAACAACCCATTAAATTCTGGCTACAGAATTCCATTACTTTTCTAGTTCACAGTTCCAAAATATTCCACCCCTCTCCAAAAACCAACATTGTCATGTTATTCATAGTGGTGACCCACTCTCATGTACCAGCTTCTTTTGTATTGGTTACTTTTCTGTTGCTGTGCTAAACCATAGTGAGTAAAAGCAACTTGTAGAAGAATTTCATATAGGGCTCCAGAGTGATGACTCTATCATGGGGGGGAAACATGGCAACAGACATGATAGCGGGAGCAGAAAACTAAGAGATTACATCTTCAACTGCAAACATGAAACAGAGAGAGTAAACTAGAATAGGAGTAAGGCTATGAATTCTCAAAGCCTACTCCCATTGAAATGCATCCTTCATCAAAGCCACCTCCTGTAACAGTGACATAAGCTGGGGACCCGTGTTCAAATACATGACCCATGGGTGAAATTCTCCTTCAGATCACCACAGTGAGTTAAAAGCAGGGATGTAGGAACAAAGATGGAAGGGAAAAGTCAGGTGGGATGGGTCTGGGAAGAGTTATGGAGGCAAGTGGGAAGGAGAATATATCAAACTGAGGAATTCCTAAAGAATTAATAAAAATGTTCCATTAAAAAAAGTAAATGGTTTAATTAGAAAGACACATACCTCTAACATAGAGATAATGTGACATTAAGAAAGTAATTCACCTGTGGCTAAACCCAAAGACTGCCTGACACAATGTAAATCCATCCTTTTAATGAAGCTGAGTAAATTGCCAGAGTGGAAAGTGGGGCTTCAACTATGGTTCAGGTGCCACGCTACCATCTATGGCCTGAAGATATTGAAAGGAGATTACAGAAAAAGCACAATTCATGAACTTTACATTGTAAGCCATTTTGAGTAGCATGAGGAAATAGCAATTCTTTGTCCCTCCCAGAGTGCAGATCATCTCTCTATCCCAGTATCTTATCCACCTGCTGACTAGTCAGTAGTCATGCTGTGTCACGCCAGTGCTTGTTTTCAGGCATCCTCTGATTATCAGATGAAGCTGCTAAATATTAACGCGGAGAACGTGTCTATCCATGAAACTACAACAAAGGAAACTGAGAGCCATGTTAATTTAGACATTTTACCTAAAACAATGATGGACCCAGTACAAGATGAATGTCTTATTTGTGGATAAAAGACATGAATAGGAATATGTTTTAATTTAATTGGCAGCGACACAATGAAGCAGAATGTTCAACCACAAAGTAAAGACTGTATGGATGCATGGTTTCATGTGTCCAGGTTAGTGCTATGAACACTTTCCATACTAGAGGTCCATTTCAAACTAATCTTGTCATTGTATTATCAAGGCTCCTCTATCTGGGTTCCAACCTTGCAGCAAATTTCTGGACTGTAACCCTGGCTTTCCTCTGAGGATATTTTTGATGCTGTCAGGATCCCCAAGCACTTGCATTGTGTCCCCCTGGATAACTAAGACCACTTAGATCTGCTTCCATGTGAGCACTAGTACTTAAGTCTGAACCATGGCTGTATAGAGAAAGTGCCCCTAAGCAGCAAGCCAATCAGAGTTATGAAGCTGACCCCCTGGAAGGGAGCAGACTTCTTTCCTAAGATGTATTAAATGTTCTGAAGACCTTTTGTCATTGTTGAGTTGCACGACAGTCCACTCCTGTTTAGTCACACTTATCTCAGTAGCAAGTATGTACTGGGCCACACTTGTAATTTCTTCCAAACTTTTGGTCTTGCTCTTTCCTGAGCAGGCTATAAACTCACCAAGTCTTTCCATTATGTTGCCTCTGTTCATCTATGATTCTGAATGAAGACAACCAGTGCTGCCCACAACTTACTCTTGCTGTTTTTGTTGTTTGGAATTCTACCCTCTTAGCATTTAAGTACAAGTCTTAGTATTTATTTGCACTTTGTTCTGCATGGTCATTCTATTTGAGTCTTTGAAAGATTATGATGTTTTGTCAAAGGTTCTTCTAAGATAAAAGTTTAGTTTTGCATCTCTTGAAGCCTATAGAAAATGTACATAATGCAGACTCCATGCCATTGCCATCATGTTCTCCCCAACTCTGGATATTGCTTTTCATTTCTTTGGCTATTAAATATAGGAATTTTTAATGTATTGTCTGGATTTTTCTGCTGATATCAGATGAATTTTTACTAGCACTACACTAGTTTTGCAGGCAGTACTGGGTGTAGTTTTCATAATTTCTCAATCTTTCCTCAAACACTGTGCTTCCAAAGGAACATTTAGTCATTCATTAATTATGCTTTTCATTGTAATACTACATTTATTTCACAAGTAACTATATCTTTGAGAAGATAACCCTTAAGACAGTGGAAGTGTTTCATAAACGGAAAAATCTATTAATGTTTCTTGTCTTGTGAGATGGCTTTAATAGGTAACTGGTATTGTTCAGCTATAACACTTTGACTCTAATTAAAAGGGTTATTTGCTTGTGAAGTTTACTTTTATATATACAGTTATCAGAAATTTGAGACAAAAATAAAAACTATAAAAGTAGTTATGTTTACAACAAGTTTAGGTTTATGTGTAGAAAGTGACTAATATTTTAACACCAAAGTTTTATAAAGGTTTAGTCAAGTTTCACTTCCTACATATAGTTAAATTTTGAAAATATAATTCAATTATATGTTTTCAAATTAGCACACTTTATTTATTAAGTGTTACTCTTCGGAGGCTAGCTAAAGAAAATGAAAAATTCTCTAAGCATATTAAATATTTAATTTGACACAACTTTGTAATATTAATTATATTTGTAATTGGGAAATTAATACTTTTAGACGTAAACTATATATTTTCTCAGGTAAATAGAAGTTTTGCAAAACGTTTTGTTAAATATACATTTGCACTCTATTAATTTATTATTCAGGTGTTTTTTTCCAATCATCCACTGCCTTGCTTGGTCTTTTTGCCCTTTCCAAATATGATTCTGTGGTAAATGCAAGTAGGGACTGTCTGGTCCATCCTGTAATGGAAGGAAAAGAGGGTAAAGAAGAAAAAACATAATTTCTGACTGATTTCTTCATTGGGTAAGAACTGTATGTTTTCCCATTGTCAATGGAATATAATATTGATAACTTTAAAAACAATATTAGTGAATAGTTACATTGAAAAACACGCCTCATATAATTTTACAAATTTTATAATGAGAATCATAAAATAGCCTGTGTTAAGATTATTGAAACTATTATGAAACATACACTTAAAATATATTATAGGTCTTCTCTCACCCCCTTTTCTTGGAAATAGATTCTTTTCTATAATCTTGCTTGACTAAAGTTTCCCCTCTCTCTACCCAACCCAGTTCCTTACCACTCCTCTTCCCCTCAGATGCACCCATGTCTATCTCTGGTTAGAAAAAAGCGGTCTTCTGTGAAATAACAACCAAACATGACAAAATAAAATGAAGTAAGGTGAAAAACTATCACATCACTAGTGGACAAGGCAACGCAACAGAAGGAAAAGAGGCCCCCAAAGCAGGCAGCAGAAGAATCACAGACACATCCCTTTATACATTGAAACGTCCTGTAAAAATATTAAGCTGAAAGATACTGGTGGTGACACGTGTGGAATGTGTTTCCTGATTCAGTCTCTGGGAGTCCCTGTGACTGTCAGCTGATGCAGAGGACTATTTTCCTGGAATCCTCCATCCCTTCTGGCTCTTACACTCTGTTTGCCTCCTCTTTCTCTGGGTTCTCGGAGCTCTGGAGGGAGGGATTTGGTGGACAATCCTATGTGGAGCTGTCTATTCCAAAGACGCTCTGTGTGTGTGTCTGTCTTTTTCTCTGTATCCCTGTGTCTCTGTCTTTGTCTAGCTGTGTCTCTGAGTTTTGTCTAGCTATAGGTCTCAATTCCTTTTGCTGCAGGAGGAAGTTTCTCTGATGATGACTGAACAAGGCACAGAAATCTGAGTGTAGCAGAATATCATTAGGAATCATTTTATTTATAGTTTTTCTTAAAGACTAGTAGAGTTTTTTACCTTTGTTCTCTGGGCTATTAGTCTCTGCTTCTTGTCACCCCAGCAGTGTCAAACATGAATTCTGTCTCACAGAATGAGCCTTGAGCCAGACAGACGTTGGTTGGCTATTCTTATATTTCCACGACATCATTGCCTTACCATATCTTGCAGTCAAGATTGATTACAGGTCAAAGGGTTGTGGCTGGTTTAGTGTATACACTTCTCTTTTGGTAGCCTATGAGGTACCTTCCTAGACTAAACAAACTAGAACATAGGAGTGAAGGCACCAGCTGAACTTTTTCATGTTTGATGAGTTTTGCGTGGGTGTCCTTGGAAATGGGCTCCTCTGTCAGTTTGTGGAAAGAATACCATAGTCTTAACAACAACCTGGGTTATGTGGAGATTTCTATGGGACCCCCTTGGTAAACGACTTGATAGAATGCAATGCATTTATGCTACAAGAAGCTTTCTTTGAGACAAGAGATGGCAAGTTAGGACTTCCCTGTGATTAGGAAACCTGATTTAGTTTGCCTTGCTATATTTAGGGGAGTTTCTACTGTCCTATGGGCTTCAGATGCCATCTCTCAAATGCCCCACAAATCCCAACATCTCTTCCTGGGTTCCCTCACTCAACACAGTCTCTGCTCTTCCCCACCCAATCCTCACTTTCACCACCCCACAAGCCTCCAGTTCGCTGGACAGAATCTGTTCTATTTTCCCTTCCCAGGGAGAACTACAAGTACCCCCACCCCTGCTCCTTCCTCTATATATAACCTCTGTGGGGGTGTGGCATTGGTGTTGGTGTGGCACTGGTGGAGGAAGTATGTCACTCTGAGTAGGCAATTAGATTTCAGGTCCTCAAGTCAGGCCTAGAGTCACTCTATCTCTTGCTGCTGCCTGATAATCAGGGTGTAAAAGTCTCAGTTACCTCCCAAGCACCATGTTTGCCTGAATGTCACCCTGATTTATGCTATGATGATAATAAACTAAACCTGCTAAGTGTAAGCCAGCCCCAATTAAATGTTTTCAATGGTCATGGTGGTTCCCTGAAATTTTAATTTCCCTGATGGTTAAGGATGTTGAATATTACTTTAAATGTTTCTCAGCCACTTGAGTTTTCCTTATAGAAAATTCTGTTTATATCTCTACCCCACTTTTCAACAGGATCCTTTTTTTCCTTTAATTGATTCTTTATTGATTTCACATTATACATTCTGATTCCATTTATCTGCCCATCTCCTTGGATCTGCCTTCTGGCCTTGCAACTGCCCCTAAAATCAAAACCAAATAATAATAATAATAATAATAATAATAATAATAATAATAATAATAAAAACAATCAAAACCCAAACAAAGTAAAGAAAAAATATCAAAACAAAAGTGAAAATAACAACAACAAAAAAGAACAATCGTGTGGATATTGTAGTGTGGTCTGTTGAGCCACACAGTTTACCCTTTAAGTCCATTCATCTTTACTTAGAAGAGTTCATTGTCATGAGTCTTTTGTCTGACTCAAGGCATCAGGTTTATGCAACACCACTGAGAAGTTATGGAATATCTGCCACTACTTATGTAATAAGCCAATCAGACCGAACTAATAAATCCAGGTGTCATGAACAGAGCAAAGCACTCCTAGGTGATCCTCAGAAGAGCAGGAGAGTCTTCACAAGGCAAATATGGTGTCTTAAGTAGTCTATAGGTGTTAAGAGAATCTTTTTCTTTTGCTAGCCGCTTTGGTTTATCCCCCGCCAGTCACCTGGGCTCTGCCGCGCCAGCCTGGTTCTAGATCCGCATGAGTCCCAAATAAACACACATGAGGCTATATTAATTATGAAGCTGTTGGCCTTGCTTGTCCCTTATTGGCTAGCTCTGCCTTAAGTAATTACCCCATAATTGTTAATCTAAGTATGTTTCTTACCGGAGAATAGTTCCCGGCTTCTTACCCCTATGGCGTCACATGTCGACCCTCTTGTCTTTCTCCTTCCCAGAGTTCTCCTGGACTCCTAGTCCCTCCTATCTAGGTTTCCTATAGGCTCAACAGTACTTTATTGACAAATGCACAGGACTTCCCCCAACATATAGGTATAGTCTTTGAGAAGCCCTGTTGGGAGAGGGTGAGGGGGCTAACTCTTGGCAGGCTTTCTGAGGGGACTAGACCGTTTCTGGGGCTGTTAATGGTCTTTGCTTTGGCGGAATATTGGGCAATGGCAGTTCTGGCCATGGCAGCCGCAGTGGCTGATATGGCGATGGCTGCAACAACAGCGGCCGTGACGTCAAAGTCTCTTTTTTTTGCCACATTAGGACAAGTTAGGAACCACCAAGGCTGATATTTTACGTGGCCGAGTCCTGTTCAAATACTGAAAAGGGGCTTTTGTCACTCATCACAGTCCCTACCAGTGTCCAATTGTTTTAAATGGGTCCTTTTTTCCCCAAAGGGAAAAACTGGCAAAATTAATTCTGCTATTCAAGGTGTGTCAAGGGCAAACTGCTAAACTTCCAGTTCTGTTGGCTTCGGGATGAAACCTCATGGGTCCGGGAGGTTGATGCAGCAGGCCTGTTGAGAAACTGGACATCTTGAAAGGTTTCCTTTCTTTCTCGGGCTGTAGATTTGGTGACATCAAGTGTCAGAAACACTGACTTAGGAGATCTCAATCGAACTGGCTTGGGCAGGTTCCCACTATCTCAGGTCCAGTTTTTCTCTGCTCCATGCATCTCATCAAATGTTCTGACAGCCGCCGAGCTTTATTCTTTTCCTGCAACACAACACAAACATGCCCTCGACCCCAAATTAGGACAGAATCCGGCCTTTCCACTTGACCTGAGCAAAAGTCGTTCAAGTTCCATCATGCCAGAATCTGTCTGCAGCAGATTGCTAACCGGCATCCACGTTTTAAAATTTTAAAATGAGGAGTGTATTATTTAATGAATCATGTGGGGACTGGTGACATTTTAAAAATTTTAAGATGAGGAGTGTATTATTTAATGAATCATGTGGGGACTGGGGACATTTTTTATCAACCCTTTAATAGCTATAGCAATATAAAAAAGTAAACAAGTGGCATGTTTTGAAGAAAATACTCAAAATGCAGGGTTAGGAAATGCTTTTACAGAATCAGAAGGACATGATTATTTGAAGACTAGAAAAGTATACTCTGTTACTTTATATTAAATTAAAACAAAACTAAGCTCAAAATCAAAGCCACCATTTTTGTCTGCTAAAATGATTGTAAAATGCTATTTTAAATAAATGGATGGCATGGGAAAAGCAGTGATTAAGAAAGGGACAGTTTTTAGATATCTTTGCCCCTAAACTCCCCTATTGTCAGATTCATTATTATAAAGGAACAGTGCTACCTGAAACGAACTATTTTCTCTTCAGGGTAACAAGTCAAATATTCACTTCTCATTAATAATTTAATGTGACAAATGTATTAGTTTGAAGGTACAGCAAGCCAATTAGACAATGGGATGTTGTATCTTCCTTTCGGCTTTCTTAATTGGCTTCCGAGTATGACGTTCTTCAAAACATGACTTCTTTTTTTTTCAGTTAAATGGTTTACTTTATTAGAGTTGCCATGGTCATGGTGTCTCTTTACAGCAATAAAAATCCTAAGACAAAAGGCATTTAGAATCTCAAAAAGATATGGCCAAAGCAAAACCTCTTTAAATGAAATTATCTTTGAAAAATAAGAGTACAGAGAAAAGAAAATATATTGAAGTCTGTGGGAGAGAACCATTAAGGTTTACTAAGAAAAGTTATATTGATGTTATTTACATGTTTTCTGCAGTTCTTACTCAGTGGTTATTAATTCCTTTGGTGTTCACTTGTTTTGAGAAGTCTTTATTTCTCTATTTGAAAATTTTCTGTTTATTATGCTCTTTGTTTAAATTTATCTATTTATTTTTTAATTTAAATTTAAATTAGAAACAAGGTTGCTTCACAAGTCAGTTCCAGGTCCCTCTCCCTTTCCCTCCCCTCCTCCCATGCCCTCCCCCCAACCCCCCCATTATTCCCTCATTTCCCCAGGGAGGGTGAGGCCCTCCATGGGGGTGTCCATAGTCTGTCATTTCATCCAGGGCAGGGCCTAGACCCTCCCCCAAGAATCCAGGATGAGAGTGCATCTCTCATTGTTGGATGGGTGCCCAAAGTCCATTTGTATACCCAGGATAAACACTGATCTACTACCCAAGGCTCAATAGATAACCTAGGCCTCCTCACTGACACCCACATTCAGGGGGTCTTGATCAGTCCCATGCTGGAATCCCAGGCATCAGCCTGGGATTCAAGAGCTAACCCTTGTCAGGTCAGCTGTTTCTGGGGGTTAAACCAGCCCAGTCTTAATGCCCAAGAGTGGAGTTGCTGGGTCTTGTGGTAGGTGTATTCCCATTTTTCTGAGGAATCTCCATACTGATTTCCAAAGTGGCTAAAATCAAAAACATCAAAGGCAATTTATGCTGGAGAGGATATGGTAAAAGGGGAACACTCCTTCGTTGCTGGTGGGAGTGCCAACTTGTTCAGCCACTTTGGAAATCAGATGCCCTTTAAAAAGGACTTCAAGATGTGTGAAGAATTGTGTTGCCATTGTGATCACAATTTCCTTGAATCTGTCTATTATAGAATGGCCTTTTTTACTATGTTAATCCTCCCAATCCATGATCATGGGAGTCTTCCTGGTCTTCTGATATATTTTCAATATTTTTCTTCAAGACTTGAAGTTTTTTATCATATATGTCTTCTTGGCTAGAGTTACCCTAAGATATTTTACATTCTTGAGGCTATTGTGAAGGAAGGTGTTTCCGAGTTTCTTTCTCAGTGCTTTTGTCATTTGTATGTAGGAGAGCTACTCATTTTTGTGAGTTAAGATTGTGTCCAGCTACTTTTCTGAAAGTGTTTATCAGCTTCAGGAGTTATCCAGTTGAATTTTAGGGTCACTTATGTATTCTGTCAATCATATGCAAATAAAGATCCTTTGAGTTCTTCCTTTACTTTTTGTATTCCCTTGACTCCTTTCAGCTGTCTTATGGCTCTAGCTAAGCCTTTAAGCATTATATTGAATGGTTATGAAGAGAGTACACCCTAATCTTGTTTATTTCAGTGGAATTGCTTTAATTTTCTCTACCTTTAATTTTGATGTTGGCTATAGACTTGTAGTAACCTACCTTTTTGTGTTTAGTCTTGTACCTTGTGTCCCTACTCTCTCCTGGACTTGTATCATGAAGGGTGTTGGATTTTGTCAGCATCTAGTGAGATCATACCATGGTTTTTCTTTCTTTAATTTTGTTTATACAGTGGATACACTTCACATATTGAACTATTCCTGCATCTCTAGGATGAATCCTATTTGATAATTGTGGGTGATCTTTTTGATAAGATCTTGGATTTGATTTGCAAGTATTTTATTGAATATTATTGCATTTTTGTTCAGAAGGGAAATTTGTAACTCTCTTTCTTAGGTCTTTATGTGGTTTGGGAGTCAGGATAGATGTGATCTTATAAAATGAACTGGGCAAAGTATAATTCTGTTTCCCCCTTGTGGAGTACTTGAGGAGTATTAGGATTAACTTCTTTGAAAGTTACAGTGTATTAGAATTTTACACTGAAAACATGTGGTCCTTGTTTTTTTTTCAATTAGAAGATTTTAATGACTGCTCCTATTTCACTAGGAGATATAGCTCTATTCAAATTGCTTATCTGATCCTGAATTCACTTTGCTAAGAGATACCTATCCTGAAAATTATCATTTCATTTAGATTTTCAATTTGGTACAGTACAGGTTTTTACAGTATGTCTTAATGATTTGATGACTTTCCTTGGTGTCTGCAATGTTCCGTCTTTTGCTTCTGATTTTTTTAATTTCAGATATTCCCTTTCTTTATTTGTTAGGTTTGGTAAGGATTTGTCTAGTTGATTTTTTTCAAAGCATTATCTCTTTCTTTGATTCATTGATTATTTGTGTTGTCTTCTTTTCTATTTTATAATTGGTTTCAGACCAGAGTTTGATCATTTCTTGACATCTTTGTCTCTTGCCTGTGATTTATCCTTTTTGTTCTAGAGCCACTAAGATACTAATATGTGCTTTTTCCAGTTATTTTTATGTAGGTGCTTAGTACTATGAACTTTCCCCTTATAAAACCTTTCATTGCATTTTATATATTTCATATGGTCTGTGATACTTTTCATTGAATCCCAGAGAGTATTCAGTTTCTTTATTTCTTTCTTGATCCAGTCTTCATTACATAATCATCCAGTTTTCATGAGTTTTTAAGCTTTCTGTAGTTAGTGTTTGTTAATATCCAGCATTAATCTGTTCAGATCTCATGGGATAAAAGATACTATTTCAATTTTATTGTATCTGCTGAAACTTCTTTTTATGTCTTGAGTGTGAGGTCAGTTTTTAAGAAAGCCCCATGAGGTGAAGAAAAAGAATATTGGTATTTGTGTGTGTGTGTTTAGGTCAAATATTATGTAAAAAGTTGTAGCTCTATTTGTTTTATGGTGTCTAGTAGCTCCAGAATTTCCCTTTTAGTGTTTGTTTGGATGACCTTTCTGTAAGTGAGAATGGAATATTGAAGTATGTCAAGATCAGTGTGTGAGGGTTAATATAGGATTTAAGCTATAATGTTTCTTTTACAAATGAGGATGCTCTTGTGTTTTGGGCATATATGTATATATATATATACATATATACATATGTGTGTGTGTGTGTGTGTGTGTGTGTGTGTGTGTGTTTCCATGGTTGTAGTTAACCTCCTTAGATCAGAGTTTTCCTACTAGTGCTTTCAGTAAGGCTGGATTTTAGATAAATGTTGTTTGAATTTAGCTTTATCACACAAAATTTTATTTTCTCCATCTATTGTATTTGAAAATTTGGCTTGATCTAGCATTTCTTGTTAGGTTGGTGTGTGGGTTATTAGGGAAGGCCAGCTGCAATTAGGGGCTGGGATAAAGAAACCAGTGATGAGGGAAGTAGGAGGGGAAAGCCTGTAGAATCCACAGAAGATGTGAGCAGAGGGGGAAAGTTGCAGTAGGCGTTCTGTTGCAGAGATAGGGATGAGACTGGAGGATTGGGTTTGGAGATCAGGGTGTGGTAATGATCCTCAGTGTACTTATCTGTTTGTTTGAACTGCACAGCTGATGTGTTCACAAGGAAAACCTTCTCTTGTTAGAGGCTGAGATACTGAGATGAGTTAGGGGAAGGAAGTTTGGAGGAGAAGGTCTTTGTGATCTGCTGGGGATGGGGTCAGAAAGGAAAGCGAGACCCCAGCAAGTTGCCTGTTAAGGTGCTGGTGGTGAGAGTAGCAGACTTGTTCTATAGGAGAAGAGAGAATTAAGGATCCATTTCCTGTCTCTTTGCTGACTGAAAAGAGCAGCCTTTTGGTTTGCAGGTGATGCCATCTTGGTTTGGGACCTGGACAAGGGGGAGAAGGAGATAATAAGAGGAAGATCCGTGGGATCTACAGAAGATGGAGTAATGAAGGGGGCAGGGAAGGCTGCCACAGATGTTCTGCTGAAGATCTGGGGATGAGCCTGAGGGATTGGGCCTGGGGAGAGGAAGGGAGAAGAGAAGATCACAGGAAGCCTGTGAATTAGTTGGGGAAGCCTGCTGGAGTTTGGGGCTAAGATGAAGCAAGGAGCAGGAGAAATGAGGTTACATAAGAAATGTCAGTGCGATCTACAGTAGATGAGAGCATGGAAAGGGGGGACAGGGAAGGCTGAAACAGATATTCTGCTGCAGAGTTAAGGGTGAGATGGGAGGATTGTGTCTGGGGGTACTTATTGCTTTTAATAAGAAGACAACAGTTGAAAGAATAGTGTGAGATGGAAATATTCAACTTGGCAAGGTTCACCTATTAGTTACTAGACATAGGAAATTGGGGAGTCTATTTAAAATGATCTACTCTATATTATCATATCTACACTCCATTCCCCCAACTCCTCACATGTCTTCTCAGCATGTACCATTCTCAACTCCATTTCATGGTGTGTGTGTGTGTGTGTGATTTTGCATATGTGTATCATGGCATGTATGTGGAGTAGAACTTCACTAAGATCACTAGTGTTGGTGGCTAGAACCGTTTATCACGGAGCCTTTTCTCCAGTCCCTAATGTCTATTTTTGTTGCATTTTATCTTGAGTATCAATAATTGTTGCTCAACAACCCTATAACTTAAATCATGTCTCTCAATATAGATCATATAATGAAAGTTTAAAAATTAAAATTATGTTAAATTTCCAAAATAGTTACTTTAATCTTTAGTGAGTCAAAATTCCATTCATTGATGATCTGACATAGATAACTTCAGAAAATTTGCATTACATATATTCTGCTGCTTTTTATTTCTTGACATAAAGTTTAATGTCCTCACATTCCTCTAAATTTTATCTTCACTTGCATTTTACTATCAGTGCCTGATAACCTGAATTGAATGTCTATGTTTTCTTTATTTTTCAGTTTATATTTAATCGCAACTCTTTCTTATGAAGAAATATTTGCACTTATACAATCCAAATAAACCAACATATGGAATTTTTCTCAAGTTAAAATGCTCTTCTAAAGAAATTTTATTTTTCATGCATTATAATACAGCATTTCGTTATATTTTCCAAATACTAGATAAAATGATTTTTATAGCAAGAACACCTAGGCCATTTTTCTGCTGTTTCTTTGTTAAAAATTATAACCTTAATGTGAGTTTGCATGGAAGGGGGGCTCCATCCATTACCATGGCAGGCAGAGGAGAATGTGAAACAGGAAATAATCATTGAACTCACATTCCCTAAACTGAACATGCAATATGAAAAATCTATAACCTAGTTTTATGTGAAAATTAACTGACTCTTTTTGGTTTAAACCTGCAGGACTGGAGAACATGTGAGGGTCCAAGTTCTAAGAACAGCAGTCTATCATTTGAAAATTTCTCAAGATTTCTGGCCAGGCTGTCATTCAGAAGTGAAAATATAGCAGAAAAGTATCTATTTAGATCTTCATTTTCACAATAAAGAATACTATTATGAAACATTTCTGAGTGTGTTTTATGGATTAGGAATTTTCTCCTTAGATTTATTGTAGGGACAGCATGTGCTTCTGTCATAGTTCAGACATAGTTCTCAGGAGTCAGTTTTCTCACACCAGCTCCTGGACTATGGGCATTGAACTCAGATTGTCAGCTCTGTGGACAGGCACACTTAACCTCTCAGCCATTTGCTAGACCTGGATTAGAATTTTAAAATAGTATTTCACATGAGTGATGTAAATTTTGGTAAGAATTAGTTTTAAATAATTAAATTAAAGCTATTAAGCATTCTTCCATCTACATATGGCTTGAATATGTATATACAGTTAGATGTAAAAAAATAATAACAGATTCTTTGAATATACATGTAATATGTATTAGTGCATTAAGAACTAATTTAATCTACATTTGATTTCTTCTTTTTCTCCATCAAGGGAAAACAAAATTTACAATAAAAATTAAGAACTAAGTTGTAGGGTAAAGACATAAAATTTTTTTTGCTATGACAGAACATATACTCTGGTTCAAAAATGAACTCAGAGCAAATGATAAAGAAGAAAATTGTAACAAAAAACAATCACCCCATTTTTTTATTGACTGACTTTGAAACAGCCACAGAGAAATATCTCAGAATTAGATAAAGCATCTTAGCAAATAAATTACATTTCTTTTTAAAAATTGGCCAGATGGGGAATGTGTATCTTGCCACCCAAGTATGTGGATTTATATTTGGATCATTATAATCTATGTAAAGACAGACATGCCATTCTGCTCCTGTAGTCTTAGCCCTCCTATTAGGAGATAAAGTGAAGACATGGAAAACTGACACATGCATCTGTGACAACGGAAATAACATTTTCAACCAAAGAGGAAGGCAAAGATCAACATCTAAGGTTGTCTTTGTCATCACACGTACATTCACTGTGGGTTTCAGACTCACATACATGGACACACACTCACAAACCTGTACAAACACTCATTATAACAAACACGCACACATTTTTTAAAAAGGAATCATTACACATTAGAAGGTTGAAATCCTATGTGGTGATATCTTTCTTGTACAAATAAAGCCTGTTTGTAGGTGAGAGAATGGAGCTTGCCACCAGCTAATCATAAAGATCTGGAGGTCTATACAGAAAGACAGGAAGTGATGTAGCTAGGCAGAAATGGTACAAGCAGGGTCAAACTTGAAATCACTCTCTTCTCTGCTGAGATGCTTAGGAGTTGTCATGTGAGCTCAGAAAGAGAAGATGCGTCAGGCGTTTTCTGGTAAGTCAAGACCACATGGGACTACATAGATTAAAAGAAAGGGGTTAATAGTTAAGACAGAGCTGGCCAACAAGAAGTCCTAATCATTATTAATATAATTACTTGTGTGTTTATTTGTGGCTGAGATGGGCGGCAGTAACTGGCAGTCAAGAAACCTCACTCTACAAAATACAGATGAAAAAAATGTAAAGATTTCTAGCATTCATAAAATTGCTATCTTTAGAGAGGTCATATTTGAATGTCTTATGTCTTTTTGTATCAAAAATGGTTTCTCAATAACTCTGTAAATGAAATATCTCTCACTATAGATCATATGGTGAAAATTTAAAATTTAAATTATGTTAAATTTCCAGAGTAGATTACTTTAGCCTCTTAAGGGTCAAAACTGCATTCATTGATGAGTTAGCATAGATAACTCCAGAAAATTTGCACTACACATTTTTCCTGCTTTTTTATTTTTGATATAAAAATTAATGTCATCATGTGTCTCTATATTTACCTTCACTTGAATTTCACTAACAGTGCCTAGTTACCTAAATTGATTGCTTTTACTTTTTTGCTTTATTTTTCAGTTTATATTTAATCACAACTCTTTCTTGTGAAGAAACATTTGCATTTATACAATATATGTCAACCAACATACGGGTTTTTTCTCAAGTTAAAATGTTCTTCTAGAGAATTTTTTCATATATTATAATACAGAATTTCCTTATATTTTATAAATGCTAGATAAAATGATTTTTTATAGCAGGAACATATAGGGCAGTTTTCTCTGCTGTTTCTTTTGTAGAAGTTATAACCTTAATGTGACTTCTCATGGAAGGCTGGCTCCATCTGTGACCATGGCAGGCATAGGAGAGTGTGAAACAGGAAATAATCATTGAACTCACACTCCTTAAATTGAACATGCTATATGAAAAATCTATAACCTAGTTTTATGTGAAAATTGACTGACTTTTTTTGGTTTAAACCTGCATGATTGGAGAACCTGTGAGGATACGAGTTCTAAGAACAGCAGTCTATCATTTGAAGATTTCTGGCCAGGGTATAATTCAGAAGAGAAATATAGCAGAAAAGTACCTATATGAATCTTCACTTTCACAATAAAGAATACTCTCATGAAAACTTATGATTATATTTTATAGATTAGGAATTTCTTCTTAGTTTTATTGTGGGGTCAGCATGTATTCCTACCATAGTTCATGCATTTTAGTTATCGGGAGTCAGTTTTCTCACACCAGCTCGTGACTTATGGGTACTGAACTCAGACTGTCAGGTCTGTTGGCAAGCACACTTAACCCAATAAGCCATTTGCTAGCCCTGGATTAGGACTTTAAATTTTTTGTTGTTGTTGTTGTTTGTATGTTTGCTATAAATGAGAAGATTAGAAACCTTTTGGTATTCTTCCCCTCATATATTTTATTTATTTAATTTAGATACAATTTTATTTTACATATGAGTCCCAGTTCCCTCTCCCTCCCATCCTCCCATGGCCCCAAGCAAAACCCCAATCCCACTCCCAAGGAAAGGTGAGGCCTTCCATTGGGATTATCAAAATCTGTCACATCATTTGGAAGAGGGCCTAGGCTCTCTTCTGTATGTCTGGGCTGAGAGAATATCCCTCCATGGAGAAGGGGCTCCATTTGTCAACTAGGCATATATACTGGCTTCAGTGTCAGATGTCCCATAGACTGCCTAGGCCTCCTAACTGGCACCCACATTCAGAGGTCTTGTTTCTGTCGAATACTGGTTCCCCAGCTTTATGACTGGGGTCTGTGTGCTGTCACTTGGTCAGGTCAGTTGTTTCTGTGGGTTTCTCCAGCAAGGTCTTGACCCCTTTGCTCATTCCTCCTCCCTCTCTACAACTGGATTCCAGGATTACAGCTCAGTGCTTAGCTGTGGGTAAGCAAGAAAGAGATACCTTAATAGAGGGAGCCATTATAAGTTTAGAAAGAAATCTGACACTAGGGAAATGTCCAGAGATCTACAAGGATGACACCAACTGGAAAACTAGGTAATAGTGGAGAGGCTACCTTAAATGCCCTTCCCTGATAATGACTTTGATCGCTGTCTTATATGCCATCGTTGAGCCTTCATCCAGTGGCTGATGGAAGCAGAGGCAGACACTCACAGCTAAACACTGAACTGAATTCCTGGAACCCAGTTGCTGAGAGGGAGGTGTGATGAGAAAAGGGGTCAAGACCAAGCAGAGGAAACCCACAGAAACTGCTAACCCGAACAAGGGGAAACTCATGGTCCCCAGACTGACATCCAGGAATCAGCATAGGACTGAACCAGGCCCCCTGTCAGTAAGGAGACTTGGCAGTCGATGGTAGTGGAACAGTATTTATCCCTAGTGTACAAATTGACTTTGGGAGCCTATTCCCCATAGAGAGATACTCTCTCAGCCTAGAAATACGGGAGAGGGTCTAGGCCCTGTCCCAAATGATGTGATAGACTTTGCTGATCTCCTATGGAAGGCCTCACCCTCCCTGGGGAGCAGAAGGTGATGGGATGGAGCCTTGAAGAGGGGCATTGGAGGATGGGAGGGAGAGGGAACTGGGATTGATATGTAAAAGAATTTTTTTATTTAAATAAAAAAATCTAGAAAAGAATTGATTTCACATATACTAGATGCCATCCTTTTAAAAACTCCACATCTAGCTACTGTAAATGAAATATATGTGAAAGATTTTAGCTAGTGGAGAGGCTTACCTTAAATGCCCTTCCCTGATAATGACTTTGATGGCCTTATATGCTACCCTTGAGCTTTCATAGAGTGGCTAATGGAAGCAGAGGCAGACACTCACAGCTGAACACTGAACTGAATTCCTGGACCCCAGTTGCTGAGAGGGAAGCAATATTCAAAGGTATAATAGTCCTACTAGAACAATGGGTGTTATATAACCTCCACGTGCTGATTTACTTTCATCTAACTTAAAAAAATATGTAACATACATGTGCGTGTGTATGCTTAGTCACATATTATATAGATTGGAATGGTCTTCTTTATAATTACAATACATTTCTCTCTAGAATTTAATAGTAAAATACTGTTCACCTGTATACAAAGGAGAGCCTCTTGGTCAAGAGGCAAGAAGTAAGAAAAGTGTCCCATTCTGAAATAAAAAGATGTGTTTGTAGCTGATTTGTACAGATCAGCTTGTTATTTCACAGCCTTTATTTGAGCCATTCTTTATGAAAACAGACACTATCCCTGGCACATTCACATAACTGAGTCTCTCACATGCATACAGGTTTAGTGGAAAATCTTATTAATCCACATCCTTAAAGTGTGACAAGACTAAAAGCAACTTTCTGTATATTGGGTTAATTCAATATTAAAACATTCACTATGAAGCAATCAAAGGTCCCATAATATTTTTCCAATGGCTTTGAACAAACTTAGCCTTTTTATAAGTGCAGTTAATGTAGTGTCTTAGTTTACTATCCGGTGCTGTGCTTTGTTTCCAAAAGCAACTCAGGGAAGGGGCTTACACATTGCAATCCCTCATCAGGGAAGTCAGGACAGGAACTCAAAGCAAAACCTGGAAACAGGAACTGAATCAGAGGCCACGGAGGACTGGCTACTGCTCACAGCTTTCTCAGCTTGCTTTCTTCGGCACTCAGAATCACCTGTCTAGGGCTGAAATGTTCCTTCCCCCCCATGATCATGACCCTTCTACCTTAATCATTAATTAAGAAAATGCTCTACAGAATTGCTTACAGGAAA